GGCACTAAGTGAAAAGAAAAGGCAAATGTCACACCCTGACGTTTAGAAGAAATTCAACTGAAATTAGGCTGGGGGCAGTGGCTCATGCCTGTAACGGTTTAAACCAGGGAGGAGGTGGAGGGGGTGGGTGCTTGTCACAAGCCTAATTCTCAGGAGGATTCATAAGTCTGAAAAAATGAAAAATCACAGGCTTGATTGAGGGGACTCATTTTGCTGCTTTTTTCCCCCAGCTGCTAAGCCAAGCTGACAAAACTTTTCAGAAATGATTTTTACAGAAACACACCAGTAAATGACATTTTCAGGAATTAAATAGACACTTGCAGGGCAATTGCCATAAACATCTTAGTTGCAAATTCTCAAGGGAGGTGTTCTGTGTAGGACCCAAACCCACAGCTGGCAATAAAATTTATGCTCTCAAAGCCACCAGGGGAAAGGAAGCTGGGATGAGTGAGAGCCCAGTGTGTGTAGGAATCATGAAGTCTGATGGGGGAGTGGGGACGTTTGCCATATTTCCAGTGCAGTACACACAAATCCCTAAAAATAATCGCAGTGGGAAGGTAAGATAAAGCTAGAGGATAGGATGGTGACTTGCCAGTGAATGTACACAGGTAGTAGAAATCTCTGGTCACCCAAGCTGTAAGGGACACATCCTTGGATTATGAGGATAACCTAATCAAAAGCACTCAGACACTACTGTGTACTTAGAACTGTGGGACTCAAAAATGAATGAGGACACTCTGCTGACCCACATGTGTGCATGCACATGTGTATGTCTGTCTCTGATACAGGTGGCAGAAGGTGCCAGAAAAGGGGATGGATGGTTCTGGATGCTGTGATCCAATGTTGGTGGGGATTTGCCCAGCATTGTGTTGAAAAACACTATCAATTCCATCATTCATCATTTTAAGAAAGCCACCCAGGATCCTACCATCCTAATAAACCACCTGTTGCCTTTTATCCACACTCTATGACTATCCTTGTCCATAGGCAAACTTTTTTTTTTTTTTTTTCCAAGAGTTCTGACCACAGCCTGAACATGTCTTTTTCTTGCTCACAGGCTTTCGTCACTTTGCATTACCTTCATTATGA